TTTTGACGGTGGAAGCACGCCGGGCTCGCGAAAAAGTGGCACGTAAAAATTTGCCGTGAGAAACCGTAATCGCGCCATGCCCCGCCGCGTAATTTCGTAAAAACCGTTCGGTTCGGCGAAGGCGACCGCTAATTGCAGCGCTAATACTTTTTGACCTACTGTTTCCCAAAACTTCGCATTGTCTCTTTTTTTTTTTTTCTTCTTTTTTTTCCGTCCCTCTTTCCTCGTTCTCCGTGTCGATTGTCAGCGGTGCGATCATTATTGAAAAACCGCAGCGTGGATTATCCCCCGCAATAATGCTTCACGGCCAATTAAAATGCGCTGTTGGATACTGATATACTGCAAATTAACCGACCCCGCGTTGCCGCTTAATCAGCATATTTATTGCTGCCACGCAATGAGAATCGTACGCGGGCGCAGATGCGATACGACGCAACCTCAATGTTGCAAGTAGTGCCCGAGCCTCATTCGCGATGCCTTTAATCCTCTCGAGGGGGGCAGGATGACTCGGATACCGGGTCGTATAATGGGAAATCACCGGTGGCGAGTAACTCGGTTATAAGTCATGTTGCTCCACTCTCCTGTTCCTATAAACGCGCGCATAATATACAGCGCCTACGGAATTTAAACTTCCTCGCTTCTTCGTCGCGCGCTCTCTCGCCGAGATAGACTTTCCGTTGCCGGGATATCGATCTTTTTTTTTTTTTTTTTTNGTCATTTTTTTTTTTTTTTTTTTATTTCTTTCTTTCTTTCGACGGTAAACGAAAGTGTGAAATGCCGTGAATACACGCACTCGAAATCCGAGAGTTTGATGAAGAAGTTTTTTCTCTTTCTTCTTTCTTTCTGTTTTTGTTTGTTTGTCTTTTTTTTTTTTTTTTTTGTTTTTTTATCTCTTTCTCTTTTCCTCCTCGTGTTCCTAATTTATGTGCCACAATGTGCGCTCAATAAACGAGCGCGTTTGGTGCCGAAAACGGAAATGATTTTCTTTCTCGACACATGTCCCGGCAGCAGAATAAATTTTTTTTTGTTTTCAAACCTTAATTAACTCCAAGAAAAGGGAGAGCACACCAGTAATAACATATATGTGATTTGTCTTGAGGATTTTTAATTGATTATATTCTCTTGCACAACATATAATAATGCGCTAATTATAAATAGGCTAGATCTGACGAGTCGATATTTCGCGCATACTGCGTACTGCTCGGCGCATCATCATTTCCTTATTTTTACCGCCCAAGGTTAATTGTGATCGGCGTTAATTTACGGCATACGTAACGCGCCTAGGCCGCGTAATTGGTAGACGCATAAATTGTCCCGCGATAAACATTTTCGCGAGGAACTGGTAGATAAGATCGCGCGCCGGGCAAGATACGGCGAGGGCATTAGCACCTCGTTGTGAGGGAGGAAGGGAAGGGGAAAAGGTTTCGATCCTTCTCTATATCCTCCGTCTTTATTTTTACGGACCGATACTAATTGCGAGCGGCGTTAATTTACAGCGTAGGTGTCACGGTTCGTGAGATGTATATTCCAATAAATCGTTTCACAATGCGGAGCGGAGCGCGCGCTGGCGTCTAGCCCAAGCTCGACTTTTTTTCTCACCGCCGCGGCATAGTACGCGATATTAATTGTGAGCGCCTGTTGATTTATACAAACGTCCGTAAGCCCCGCGCTGAGCGGGATGAAATACACGCTGCGGATAAGCGTATGCGAGATCGCGAGATGAGGACGTAAAGACAAAGACCGAGCGAGGCGCGCTCTATACGTGTGCTCGATAATATGGTAATCATATTCCGATTTCACAGGTGCATCCGAAGGTCAGAAAGCGATTAATCGCGCTTACGCTTTCTGACGCATCACTCGACTGCCGTAAATCGCGTGTGTCTGTTATTTATACACATTAAAATTTTTTTAATGGAAAATTGTAGATCGGAACGCGCGAGAAGAGGAGGTTATTTTATGTTAAGGGTTGTAAGAGAGAAAAAAATCCCGCTCGCGCAGAAGATAATAGACGAGAGAAGTGGTTTTACATTTTTATTGTATAATTCCATTGCCGGAGATACGATAGCGAGCGAGGTTTGAAATTTAAAGCGAAACGCTTCGCGCGCGGACGCGATAGAAACGCTGCGAAATGCGCATTTAAAGACTCGAACAAATTGCGACTCGGCACTGCCGCGTGTCCGCCTTCTTATATATGTGTGTACTAATACGCGAACATGTTCGCCGTCTCGTGATCTCACATGGAAGGCGAGTCTACGCGTACTTATGTACAACTGTGCCGAGTTCCGTACAGTTAAGTATGACTGCTACGTGCTAGTAGGCTACCGCATATGTCCTGGTCGGGGAACGACACGTAAACAGGATTCTAAGTCTAATTGCTTTTTTGTCTCTTTTTCTGCAATAATAAATAACACGGCCGTGTGACGAGTAAAATGTTTCAAATATTTCAATTGTCTGCAACTTGTATAACTAGATCGAAGAGAAATGTTAACTCAAAGGCTATAATAAAGTGAAATTTCACTCCGTGCGAAATTTCACGCCCTGTCACGTGACAGGGAGGAGAAAAAAACAACATGTGATTCTACTTTAGTCACGTGTCTTTAAAAACGTGACTAAGGTGACTTTAGTCACGTGGTGTTTTCTCACTCTTCCCTATCACTATTTTTCGAGTTTGATTTTCATGCGTTATTTCTGACATTTCTCATATGTGTGTTATATGGTTTGCAAAACGTATATATTAGCTGTCATCGCGATGACAGTTTGTGTTCACTGACACAACACACGTTAAAATAAAAACAATAATAGCGTGCGCGTAGCGCGTGCCTGTTAAAAAACGTAACCACTAACAACGTTAACTTTATGGGCGTTATTAACACAATTAGATTTTTTTGACGACTTTTATGATTTTTGAAATAAAAAAATATATACTAGGATGAAGTTTCATCCACGATAGCATTAACGCGCGATAGCTCTTAAGGGTTAAATAAAAAAAATCTAATCCAGAGTAATTTTCTCAAATAAAAAATTCGAGAAACCTCTGACAGACAAAAAAAAAAGTGATAACTCTATAATCACTAACTATCCAAAACCATCTGGTGTGTATCTCGTTCTGTACGATATCAGTGATCCTCAAGTCACGGTCGCTTCGATCACTGTATTTTCCGCAATTACCATAGCCCGCGGGTCCTCGCCGGGACAAGTAGATGGTAGACAAACGATTTTATACGCCGCTACTTAGCCGCTATCGTTCGGTCCCGCAAAAAATCATCGGGATCCGGGAATGTGTTAGCCGCGGAGGGGGTGAGGGGCGGTGATTGAGAAACTCTGAGCGACGCGCGCGACGAGAGGGTTCGCCCGCGGGCTCAATACCGGATTATCCGAGTAGAAAATGTAATGGAACGAGTAAAGTTTGCGTTCACGCATCGTTGGTCTCGCGTCTCAGCGGGGGAGTCGTTTGTGTAAAAACCGTCGTCGTCGGCACGGTGCGAACCACCACCACCAACGCGAGATTAGGTAACTGAAACGCGTATCGACGCGTATGTTAGCTCTCGAGCTACCTACGTGGGTGTAGACCGAACGCGGTGCGTTCGCCACGCGGTATGGATAAACGCGACCGATAACGCGGGGCCGACTCGCTGAGCACGCTCGATCCAGATTCCACGAGCCAGTCCTAGTTTCCTAGAGAGAGAGAGAGAGAGAGTCTTGGACGTAACAATCGCGCGCGCTGTAACAATCGTATCGGCGTTTTTCCTGTAGCAAGCGCGTTTGCGACGATTTTTCCCATTCCCATCTCTTAACGCTACATTTCCTTCTATTTTGTTTCGTATCGAGGAACAATAACAAGAGAGAGAGAGAGCGACCTTATAAAAAACAACAGTCTATTCAAGGTTCGATGTAATGAAGTCTACTTTTTACGATAATGGATAGATAATTTAAATAATGTTTTGCGCGCGATAGTTATTTTAATTTTTGCCACTCGAGTGCGTTGCGAGACGAGCGGAAGTATATGACTTGCGTCGTGACAAACAATCGCGCGACTTCGTGCGCAAAACGATCGTTAGACGTTTGAGAGAAAGAGAGAGGTTTTGAAACGGCGCGGCTTAAAATTATTACGTTGCCTTGCGTGAACGAACAGTTTAACAATCCTCGTGGAGGGCGAGGAAACAGAAACCTACTGGTTGGTTCCGACGTTTGATCGTCGTGGCCAACGAGTCGCCGCGCCGTCGGACAAATTAAAGTATAACAGGTAAACAGATCGTTAAGGGAACTCAAGTCTCGGGACGAGATGGCGGTATCGCGTTATCGCCAAACCCCGCGAGAATCACATCTCCCGACGATTCTCGTTTTCCCGCGAGGTCGCCCGTTGGCGTCGTGCATACGCGTTTATTTGCGCGTTCCCCGATCCAACTCAATCCGGTAACTGCCAGTGGGACCACGTCTCCGCGATCAATCTTTGTCAAAAGCGTGCCGGGAATGCGGGAGGGATGATAACGTGCAAGAACGCGCGCGGAAATTTTCTGTGTGTGTGTGTGTGTACGCGAATTCTACCCCACACAGCCAGCATCCACGTTCCCTGGAAAATGTGGCACGCAATACGCGAACAGAAATGTTTACACAAATTAACTCGCGGAAAAAAGTAACCGACGCGGAGAACGTATAGCCGGAACAAATCTAAGATTAATTAGGTTGAACGTAACAAGCGGAAAATATTTGAATATTTTGCAGCGGCGTATAACGAGCTCTGCGTATATGTGTATAATACCCCGTACATATACTTTATCTAATTGTACCATCGTGCAAGAAAACGCTGATTGACTTGCCTCGCGTTTTCGTATGTGTATAAAGATTGATGGAGATTCAAACGTCTTTTACACGCGCATTCGATTTGAAAATGTGGCACACGTAACAGTAAGAAATTCCTCACGTAAATCGGAATGAGGACATGTGTGCTATATGTTGAACAATTTCAAATTATCACCTCGCGTTTCTTTTCTTGTTTTCAGAATCTAACGAAATTCAGGACAGACCACGAAGAGAGACAGAGAAGGAGCGAGAACAGTATCGGTGAGTCGAATCTTTCTATCTTACCGAGTCATCTATTACCTTCGATTTTTTTGTTAAACTCCTCGGTCGTTCCCGAATACGATACCCGCTTATTATTTCGTCTTAAAATCACTTTCAGGGTTTTCGTATTTGGATACACAATTAAATAAAATGTGCCTCGAAGAACACAACAGTTATTTGTGTGTATCTTTAAGGCGCATTATTGTCGACAAAAATAACATTGAGAACCTCGTGCCTGCGCGTTTTTAAATTTTATTTTTTAGTTATCATGTCATTATTTAACACTAATCCTGTAAACATTTTTGTTTTAGGTACATATCTTGTAAACTCTGACACTTATGTCTGATGCGATTTTTTTATTGGTCAAAACGTTGCAAAAACTCTGTAAAAAGTCATGGGGGTTTATTTAACATTCTTTAAGAAAATAATATTAGTTTTGATATATTGTTTTATTTTTTTTTTTTTAGAAATTCTTCCGCTAAATAGTTAATAAGATTTTCTCACTTTCAAGAATCGCTCGGACATTACACATTGGAGTTTACACGATTAGACTTAAGTGACTTATTATTCGAGTGTAGTTGCGCGAGCGTATTTTCGCAGAAAGAAAAGGTTACACCTACTTAAGAAACGATAGGTTAAAGTTATTACGACATATACGGAGAGAAAGAGAGAGAGAGAGAGAGAGAGAAGGGGGGAAGGCCCGTTACTTCCGGAATTAATGGATTGTGAAAAATTTCCGATCGAGTGACGTTTCCGTTCTTTAAAAGCGAACGAGGGCGATTTATAAAGTTGTTATCGGAAAAGGTGAACGAGCGATCGAGACTGTCTCGTTCGTTGTTGTTGATTAAAATAAATTGAAATACGATACAACGTATAAAGTTACATCGATATTAACGTTTAATTTGTATTATTAATAACAATTCTTCGTTTCGCGCAAATTTTATTGTAATAATGATCGTCGATATTATAAGCGGCAGAAATAAAAAGAGAAATTCTTCTCGTAAACATTGAATCTTTTGGTCAATTTACACCGTCGTAAATTGAACTTAACGTCAAATGATAAAATCTGATCGTATCTTGCACACATGCGCGTCTTCGGAGTGTAATATCGAAAAAAAGATACGAAAGCCGACAATCCACTTTGGCGAATTTATAATGTCATTCGTGCGATCATCGTAACCTTCCGTCCGTGGCCTTCTTTCAAACCCGACACAAGGTCTACCGTACGGTTGCGATCCCGTCGATAACGCACGTATTCTCGTATATTCGGTCCATTCGGTACATTTGCATGTGTATATGTATGACGAGAAAGAGACGCGCAAGGCGAACATCTTGCTAATGAATTTTATTGCATTTGCAAAAAGTATCAGGAAAATTACGCTTATAAAAGTCATTCGAACGTTCTTACATTCCCATTCGCAACGATTGTATGCGAATTGATGATACTGTGTCGTCGGGTTTGTCGATTTCCGGGACTCTTTTTGCGAGTGAAACGGTCAGAGAGATAGAGAGAGAAAGAGAGAGACGGGCGTGTACTCTACGAGCGTTGAAAATCGCGGCTGACCCGTGTGTGCCAGATGTTTTTTTCCTCGTTACGCTGCGCGCGCGCCTCCTCTTCGGGGCCAGGCATCGCCGACTCTCTGTTTCCCGTCGACTGTACCGGCGGCCATGCATCGCCGATGAGAATATGACCCCGGCACGTATAGCTCGGGCCCTCTCCGAGTAAACTACATAGGCGTTTGCGCGCGCGTCTCTCCTCTTCTCGAGGAGCAGGCGAAGAGAAGTCGGTGTGGTGGTCGTCGTGCGAGTCGGTGTCGTCGTCGGCGCGGTGCGCCTTCGTGTGGCGTAGGTGATGGCGGTGCTTTGCCACGGTGATGGTGGGAGTACCGCAAGGGTCAATCCACGGTCCACCATTATATTCCTTCGGCGAAGAAGTCGTGGCACACGGGGGCCCCTCGGAGCGGGTTCACAGCCGCAACGACGACGACGACGACGACGACGACGACGACGACGACGACGATGACGGCGACGACGACATTCGAACGTTTAATGGCCGGAATTTGTCTGGCCGGCAGGTACACTGACAGCTAGAGTGGGTAGAGTTAGTGACTCGCGTTTGGATCGGTTAGAGAGGAAGACAAGAGGAGGTTATATAGCCGAGAGATAGAGTGGAGAGTACGAGAGATAGGTACAACACACACAGGCGAGACACACGTAAGTTATCACCATGGTGTGACATGCGCGTGTTGTACGCGGATCGATAGATACTATTTCCAGATTTGTACGTATGATAAGAACAGAGCTGGTGTAATTTTTTACGCTTTAAGATGTCTTTGATCTTTATTGCCCTTTTCACTCCTCTTGCTTTCTAAGTTGTTTATTTCTAGCTTAGGCACACGACATTCGAATATGTAACTATAGCTCGAGATCGATTCGGAACTCTCAAGAATGTTGTACAAATGTATTAGCTAATTGTTGTAAGAAAATGAGTTTTACGTCGACAAACGTCGAAGCCTTTTTCTGTATTACCACATCGCGATCGTTACTCGAGCCGTTTCATGTTACAATCTGTATTCATCTCCTCATCTACACAGTTAGGATTTTAATTATCTAATTAGCGGGATTGTTAATGACGAAGCGATCGGTAGTTCGCGAGCGCTCGTATTTGTGTGTATGTGTGTGTGTGTGTGTGTGTGTGTGTGTGTATATCGAGCGTGTGCATCGAGCGGGATCGCCGCGCCGCGCCGTCCTCCAAATGCAACTTTGACCTTTAAGAGGGGCGGAATGTATCGTTCGCAAAAATATCGCCACGAAGAAATGACTCTATCGTAATTAAACCATTGACGTTGGAGATACCGTAAGGGTCAATTCACGGTCGAACATCATATTCTTCGGGTATAAGGAGCTTGGCTTTAAGGTGCGGGTTCGGTACAACCGCAGCACACAACGTTCGACGCTTAATGGTCGGAATTTGTCTGAATGGCAGGTAACACTGACAGGCACTCGGTTTAAACTCGGTGAGTGGAAGGATAGACCGCGGCTACAGAAATCCCGCGGTATCCAGAAGGTTCTCCGGTAATTCAAGGCTCGGCCGGGTCACCGATTAACGTATCGATCATTAGACGATGCCGATCGAGGCGACTTTTTCCCGCGACCCAGCCAGCTGCCAGCGATCGCTTTAAAGTTCAAATTGAAGCCTAAATAACGAGATGTTTGCCGTCTCTCTCTCTCTCTCTCTCTTTCTCTCTCTTTCGCTTTTATCTTTTAACCGTTACGTGTAGCGAAGGTAAACGATGACGCGGGAGTTAGTGAAATTTACTATAATGGACGCATTTAAACGGATAGCTTTTTATGAAAAATTTAAAGCTATTGTTTCTTTAGAAATGTTTTACTTTAATTTTTATAATTTTTTTAAATAAGAAATTTTTTATCTCACTAAAAAAAATGGTAAGACGATTTACTTATTGCTATGCGGTTTACGTCTTGCACGAAAAGTGTCGAGAACAGTCTTTAATAACGAGCTTTAATAACTGGGATTTGTCCGAGCAAGGAGGTAGGTAGGAACGAAGTTGGGGAAGTAAACAGGAAGTTAGAAAACTTGTTGAAGGAAACTAGCGAGAGACGCGCGTAGAATCACCGAGTAGCCGGTAGTTCCTTTAAAAGTTGTTATTTTCAGTTTCACCGACCATTAATGACTGTCTCTGTCGAACGATATTTAACCGACTGTTTTCCGCGCGACGAGAGAGCGGCACGAATCGCGACAGATCGATTTGTGTCATGAAACCTATTGCATCCGATAAAATGCGCGAACAAATTGATCTCTCTCGAAATAATCCTATCGCAAATGTCGATCAAGTTAAGAAATCTATGTGAAATACTAATTTTTCCAAACGCTTTAATTTTTTTAATTTAAGTTTTTTCTATTTTACGTCTTTCTTAAATTTTGCCAATTTTTATTCATCTTTAATTTTTTTTTTTTTTCTAATGAACGAATTGTGTTCAAATTACACTATTGTGCTGTATAAATAAACCGACTAACTCACATAGCGGAAATGTCAGATACAAAGATTGCGTGACAAATTTCATTCACGGCTTTGCATCAGTTGGCCGATTCTTCCGCCTGTCTGCAATCAGGAAAAGACGAGCTCTCGAACGAGGTGTACCATACGTCTGTTGACTGATCGGTACAATCGGCGTGCCGGTTGTGCGCGATGCCTTTTTCGGCGAACTGTGAATGTAGCCTCTGAGGTCTCTGAGCCATTCCCCTTTCCGCGTCGTCGTCGTCGTCATCGTCGTCGTCGTTGGCCGGTTCGCCCGGGGTCACCGACGAGAGGTCACGTCGCTCGCATGGCATCAGTGACTTTTTCATTTTTACCCCCTACCAGCTTCTTCTTCCTTCTGCCGTTCCTCTCCTTCTCGATAGCCGCGCAGGACACGTGCGCGAAAAGGCTAATGCCTTGTTTGAAGAAAGAACTTGACTCACGTTTGCGGCAATTCTTTGATATTTGTTTTTTAAATCGGATAAGAGAGTTATATTTTTCTCTTATTGATTTAGTATAAAATCAAATCAATTTTGCAGACGCTAAAAAACTATCAATTTTTATGTCACTGAAGACGCGCGTTTTTCAGAATTAGCGGTGTTTTTCGCTAATCAAAGCGGTGTTACTCGGCGGCTGCGAGTACTCGGAACTTGTGAGTAAGTTATTTTTATTGTAGCCTCGTGTGCATTTAATTCCCCTTGATTAGGAGATAAATATTTCAAAGTTGAACTATGCGGAAACACGAAGTCGCGGTGAAAAAGCCCGCGCTTCTTGGCGGACAGAGACGCTACGCTTGTGTGAAATTGTCAAGATTCCACGTGTATCTTTGAAAAGATAAATTTATTTCGTGACCGGTAGGTCTCGCTGCATCTTATTCACCGCGCGAGTGCATGTGAATCGTATGGATCTATGTGAGGCGAATGCGTCGTTTAGCAAGTAGAGTGCGCGAACTCGCGTTTG